TCTGGGAGATGAAATTCATACATGGGAAGATAACCTGGTTAGAGAATGCTGTGCTAGCTTATTCTTGTTATTAGAATGGATAATGATTCTTTGGATTTAAAAACAATTTTTACTAATTGTTAGGCCAGACCAAAAATATTGCTTTACTGATGTTAAAAGTAAAAATAGTACAGGTAAATAAATTCATAAATATTGAAACAGCTCTATTCAATGTATACAAGGTAGCATCCTGTTCAGAAGCAGCTTGTGTGAGCTACTGTTCTGTACAACGTTTGTAAGTGGCTTTATAAAAGCAGTTTTTAATTTTTTCCATACAGTAATCATATTCCTTGAATTTCAGGTCTTGGATTACAATCCTATCTTGGGGTCCTTCTTAATCGGTTCTTGCATAATTTTTATGACATTCGTGGTGTTGAACCTCTTCATTTCTGTAATCCTGGTTGCTTTCAGCGAGGAGCAGAAACATTATCAGGTTTGTTCATAGCATCTCAGTGTTTAAAGGAGACAGGAGAAACTCCCGAACTGTATTCTGGTGGCCCCTGGAGTCTTCTGCAACTCTCCTACCAAGTGTGGTTGGTGGAACTGTCACAGACTGGCAGTATGGTTTTCTGACATTTTGTGAAGGAAACCATGAAACAAAAAATAGTGCATGGCTGAAAATAGATATAGTCCAGTTGTAAATAGAAAAGTTCAAAAGCCTTTCTTAAAAAGCCATAAAAATGGAAAATTCAATCTCGATGCAGCTTTGCCCAGTTGGCATCATTGCCACCCCACTGCAGCCCTTCCTTGTCCCTTCTCCAATTAAGCATAAGGCCATCTTTAATAAAATTACTATTAAAAAAAGAAAGAATGCAAAAGGTATGCCCAAAACGACCTCACGCATCATGCCAGCATCCTTTTGGGGTTCTTCCTTGCATTTTGAGCTTTTTTTTTAAAGCGGGAAAGAGGATGTCTTTGCAGATGGCATTAGCCAGGGAAAGTTATTCCCCAACTTTCCATCTTGCTTGGAAGCTATTTATTATTAGGTCTGTTTTATATTGTATTTTAACCAATTTTATTTTTTCCTCTAAACTGCCCAGAGTCATTTCAATGACATGGGCGGTGACAAATTTGATAGATA